TTTGATTTTGATTTGATTGATGAATTGATTTATAAATTTCGTGTCGCAATTAAAGATACGTTAAATTAATTAATTAACTACGTTGTAAAAACACCGCGTTTTTTCCACGTTCTTGGACGCGATCGCTGTCTTAGCTAAGCGGCCTTATCGCTATCCCTCTCGTCAGATAAACGTTAGTAAAATTGCGTGGTTCGTACCGGCGAGGAGTCGAAACAATCTTCATTGTGGAGAATTATTTCTTGTCGATTCTTGTAAGATTCATCCGCGACGTCTAGTTCGGTGCTCTTCTTTGTATTATATTTTGTAATGTATATGTGTGATGTAATTAATTCTATATTAGATATATAGAATTAATTATAATATATATTTTGTAATACATTTTGTAATATATTTTGTATAATATATTTTAAAATTTTTTAATGTATTTGTAATATATTTTATAATTATACATTATGTAATTTCTAATTATATAATATATACATTTTATATCATTCTTCGTGTATTATATTTTTTATTTGACATATTTGTAAAACCTGTTTATTAAAAGAAACCTATATATAAAAAAAAATTAAAATAAAAATTTTTCCTCCTTGATAGTATCTCCACCTTACCGAAGGCATTTGCCGGGTGAGGAGGTTTGAGTACTCTAATGAACCTAAGAGCTAAGCCGGCGATAACACATAACGTTTTCGAGTGAAGCAAGTTTGATCGTTTTGAGACCGATTAATAACATCATATATTTTGTCTTGATTATTAGGGGTACCTAAATTATTAAATTAATCAATGAAATACTTCAAGTAAGCGTTTGATTGATTAATCAGGGCAATAAATTTTGTGCTTTAAAGCCAAAAAAGGGAGATGTACTTTATATTAGTTATATTATTAATGTATCATACATTTATATTAATTAGATTCTCTTAAAACTTATTTTTGGTTAAACATATATTCATGGTAAATTGGGTTTAATCGCTCCCAAAGCGATCAAACTTGCTTCATTAGAAAACGTTGATAGTTAGCGGTAGGGTCACTCATGCCGAACAGGTCGAAGGGGAGGAGTCAGACTAAGAGAGATACTGTAATTATTATATATTTATATTTTTGAATAAAATGAAAGCAAAAAAGACAGTAATTGAGAGAACAGAGAAAAAGGGGCTCCAAAATATTTTCATATTCTTCTCGGAACTTAGAAATATCTTGATACGTGATACGACATAGAAAAAAATTGACTTCTGAGAAACAGAAGTCTATTCTACTATAATTTTCCTATAGTTTTGTTCTATAGTTTTATAATCTTTTATTTTTTGCGGAGTTTTAATTATTAGCAGCATTAATTAATTCTTTTACATTCATATGATCGCTCGGTAATAGATATGCTGTCAGATTTTCACAAAATATTATACGAAAAATCGAGATATCTCTTGCAATATTGATTAGAGCGTAAAAATTAAGAGTAAAAGTTAAGAGTTTCTTTTATATTTTGTGCTACACAGAATTCTAATTAAAAAGCCAAAAATGTAAAAAAATCTACTTATCTTAATACTTGGATGTGTCTTTATATGACAAGCGAAAAAATATGATTTCCAAAACGCGGAGATCTATTGTATTATAATTATTATATTTTCCTTTAGTTTTAACCGTGTTCTTTTATTAACAGCATTAATTAATTTTTTTCACATACACGCGCGCACACGCACACACACATATTTATAAAATTACATAATATTAACTGTAGTTATCCGTTCTTTTTTAAAAAATTAAATCAAAATTATATACATATTTAGTATTTGAACTGTCAAATATGCAGCTCAGCCATGATAGGCTTTTATTGATATAAAGTGATGCACAGCGCAGTGTCGAGATAATAATTTCAGCATCGCAGAAAAGAGGCAACAATACTTGTGAATATCGATTTAACATGTCTTTTTTAAAAGTGGATTTAATTTGATCGAACTTTCATAGCTTTCATTAAATTTTACCAAAGCATACATTAATATTGCATTAATTAATAATACACTCTTAGAAAAGATCAAGATGTGGTTCCAAAGTATTAAAAAACTTCCCATTCTCTTTGTTTTTCTTTTTTCACAGGTTACTCGTGAATATTTATCTGTTCTTTTTTCATAAACGGAGTACAAATTAATTACAAAATGCGTCAATTACAAATGCAAGAAATTATGCTCATTAATTATGCGCACGTGTTTTCGTGAAATTTTTATTTTTATTTTGGATTATTGCTGTTTATTCTTGTATGAATAAAGTAAAGTGAGCAATTGTATTGGATCTATTATGACTAACCGTATGAAATTTATTATGAATAACCGTATGTGGAAAATCCAACTTTCTTCCCGCGCAAATCATATACAAATATAACTATATTCTTAAATCCTATTTCCGGATTATATAAATTTTAAATTGCTCCTGCGAGTATATACTGCAGTCGCGTTTTGTAGCTTTGATGTACGATTTATCTTTACCATATTTTTGTGCGAGTCCAAACATTATTTATTTTTCTTTTGTTTAAAACCTCAATATCCTACGAATCTTTATTCGGAATATATCAATATCTGAGATGATTTTTTGTTAGAAATTTTAGAAATATAATATATCAATATCGAAGTGATGTAAGAAATCATGATCGAAGTGTATGTAAAAATAAATATAGAAATCTTTTGTGTGTGTAAAATATTCAATAACGTATAACTTTATTTCATCGGATAGCATAAAAACAAACTTTTGCTTATGCTTTTATTACATTACTCAAAAATAATAAAACTGTCAATTATTCATCCTTTTCAACCACAAAATGATGTATAGTATGCCACTGTGCTTGTTAAACATATATTCATGGTAAATTGGGTTTAATCGCTCCCAAAGCGATCAAACTTGCTTCATTAGAAAACGTTGATAGTTAGCGGTAGGGTCACTCATGCCTGACAGGTCGAAGGGGAGGAGTCAGACTAAGAGAGATACTGTAATTATTATATATTTATATTTTTGAATAAAATGAAAGCAAAAAAGACAGTAATTGAGAGAACAGAGAAAAAGGGGCTCCAAAATATTTTCATATTCTTCTCGGAACTTAGAAATATCTTGATACGTGTAATTTTCAATCATCTAATATAACTCTATCTTGATGTTGGGATTTCATTTTCCGTCAGTGTATAATAGAAATGCTGATTTCATTTATTTCTCTTTATTTTAATAATAAAATAAATATTTTTTTAATAGAGAGAAAGAAAGAGAGAGAGAATTTAAATTAAATTACTAATACTATAATAATAATAAGTTAACTGTTAAAAAATGCAATTTTAACGATTGAAAAGTAGCAATAAATGATTCGATAATAAAATTATTTTCATATTAGCTAAAGTAACTAGGATTGCAAGAATATCCGATAATTTAAAGCCAGTTTTGATATTTTAAAACAATTGATAAATATCTTCAATAAAATTATTTTTAAATTAACAATAAATTATTGGAATAAATTTTTGAAATACCAGTCAAATGTTTTTCAACCATGGCTAGCATTATGTCACGTCGCTCCCGATAAAACTTTTGTATATCTTTGAAATGTTCCTCGAATTTTTGCGGTTCCCAAGCTTCGAAGAGTTTGTATAAAAGCATCTGCAGCAGATCGTTATAAATCAATTTGACATATACTCAACAAAATAACTTCACCCATAAATTTATATTTTTGGAATACTAAGAATAAAATATCAAAGTGTAAAATGCAAAGTAAGATAATCGTAATAAAGAATTTTCTTTTTAAAAACATGCTTAATTATGCATATTTATATACAGGGTGTCTATAAAGTCTGTCCCCACCCTCCTACATTTTGGAAACGGCTCAAAATTATGAAAAACCGCGGAATACGTGTTTGATCATTTCGAGAGCCTACTTTTTTAAGGGGGAGTTGTCTGCCCAACTGGGTATCCCAGGGGGACTCCAACTCAAAAATTTCAAATGGAATCTCCGTATTGTAGTATATCGTTTAGGATCTAAATTTTTTTATGGGAAGGACTTAAAAAGACGAACACTTTCACACCTCAAACATTTTTTTAAGATTTTCTAAGGGAGTAACGGGAGTAATGATTTTTTGAAAATTAGATTTTTCGGACTTTGACCCTAAATAACTCCCGAATGGGTCAACGTATCAACGTCCGGTTTGCGCCAAAAAATTTCTTTTTCTATGTCCTTTCAAACGATATACTACAATATGGGGGGACCCATTTACAATTTTTTAGTTAGAGTCTCCCTGAAGCACTCCTTTGGGGAGACAACTTCCCCAACCTCCTTAAAAGAGTAACTCTTCGAAATGATCGAACAATATTTCGCGATTTTTCATAATTTTGAGCCGTTTCCGAAATATAAGGAGTGGGACAGACTTCATTCTGATACTCTATATATAAAAATATATTTATATATTTTATATTATATATTATATATTATATAGTTATATGTATAATATATACATATATTTATATAATATAAATAAAATTTATATAATATATAAAT